TAGCTTTTTCAGATTGATTTCTTTTACTTAGTAATATGCATTGAAGGCTTAGTAATATGCATTTACTTAGTAATATACATATTTTCATGACTTGCTAACTCATTTCTTTTTATTGCTAATGGTATTCCATTTTCTGAGCATGTCTTTCTGGGCCAGTCAGTTGTTGTAACTTGAATAAGCTGGGCATGGTTGAGACAAGTTTTCTTCGCTAGTAGCTTGAATAGCATCTTCCAGCACTCTGAAAGCTAGCATGTAGGATGAACCTTCCAGATCAACACCAGGCTTACTTTGCAACGTCCTATGACCTAAGCATGTATTGTCTTTAGTAACAAGGTCTTACCACCAAGTTCTGGATAACAACTAAAAGCATTGGCAATATCCTATAATATTTGGGGATCTAAGGGACCTCACTGGCCAATTTTATGTCAACGTGACATAAGCCAGAGTCATGTGGGAAGAGGGAACATCAACGGAAAAAATTCATCCACCAGAGTGGACTGTGGGCAAGCCTGTGGTGCATTTTCTTGATGGATAGTGGGTGTGGGAGGGTCCAGTTAGCTCACTACGGGTGGTGCACCTCCAGGCTGGTGGTTCTGGGAGCTATAAGAAAGGCTGAGCGAGCTTTGGAGAGCAAGCCAGTAAGCAGCACTCTTCCACAAGCTCTGAATCAGCTCCTGCCTCTAAGTTTCTGCCCTGCTTTAGTTCCTGCTCCCAACTGCCTCCAGTGAAAGACTGATGTGGAAGTATACCAGAAATAAACCCTTGCCTCCAGGTAGCTTATGATCATAGTGTTTATCCCTCTAAAGGAAACCCTAAGTAAGACACTAGCCAACAACTCCAAAACAAGTCCTTGACAGCTGGCATGTGGCTTTTTATCTGTTAGCGTCTGGTGTCCAGTAGGTCATTGATTTTATAGGGTGACTGCTTCCACTGTTTTTGTGTTTGGGCGTACGCCAATTAGATTCAGGTATGTGAAGCGCCGCAGCCCTTCACTGACAGTAAACAAGATAGACTGGAATTTTTTTTTACTCTCTTTTAGAAGTCCTGAGTCATCTAAACTGTATTGTTTCAGGGTTCCAGAGGTGCAGAGATAAACACTGGAAAAGCCCACACTTCCTCTCTCCTGTCTGAGGAGACCAGATCCCCTCCCTCTACTTTTTACCCTTCAGTGACCTTGACTTTCATGTTTTGAAGTCTGGGGCCAGCCTTCCTCCAAAGGAAAAGACAATACTTGACTGTTGCTAGTGATCCCCTACATTCTAGGAGCAGGAGGAGTTAGTGAGAAAAGGGAAGGGCAAGGCTGGAAAATGATGCCTCAGAACCGGGGGCAGTGGCGAGTGGTGGTTAGAGCTGCTTACCTCAGACAGCAGCTCTGTCTGGATTTTTCTGCAGTGCTGCAGGATCAAATGCAGGGGGATCAGATGCTGTGGGATCATCTTGACACAGTCCAGCTTGAAAAAATAAGGTTACGTTGAGCCTTTTCTGGGCCTTCATTTTGATGAACTCCAATTTTAGGCCATTTCCACAGTCTCTCAGCTCCCAGTCTTTGATGCCTGCAACCATACCTGAGCAAGAAAATAAGCAGAGAGCCGTAGAAAGCATGTGTTCTATGTACAGCAGCACAGCTCTTTGCTATTTGTGAGTCTGCCTTCCTTAAGTAACTTTGGAATTGATCAGTGTTCTTGATCCATTGCTGTGCTCCCTCCCTGTTGTTAGATGACTGTCAGGATGTCAGCAAGAAACAGAGCTTTGGTTTTGTCCCCCAAACATTCTGCTGTAAGCCAGAAGTATATGGAACACTGTCCAAAGTTAATTTAGTATGTCTGCAGGTCCAGTGGATTACATATTAGTATTAATTGCTCTTAATTGCCCTGCAGTTGTGAGGAATCTGGTTTTGTGATTCCTTAGACGCAGATGTTTCTGTTACACTGATTCATTTCTAGTTCACTCAGTTTTGAGAATTCCAGCCCTGAGCTTTTAGAACATGAAAAGGATCTATAAAAGGCTAATGCCCCAGGATTAAGCAACAAACAGAGTCCTGTGTCAAAGTGTCTTCTGCACTTCACAGATAGAATGCTGCTTTGTGTTTTGTCTAATTGCTGTTCAGTATTTAGTACACATCAAAACTGAAAGACCTTCAGTTACACAAATTAGTGGTTTGTTCATTTACTGTGTATGTACTTTCAGGTTCTTTACTTCTTACTGACTTTTATCTGAGCCCATTAAGTTGTCATTGTGTCTTGTTTCCAAGATTATCTACATCTCTCATGCTTACCATTTTCTGTAAAGAACTAGAAAGTTCTGTTGTTGATGCTGATCACAAGTGAACTACTTCCTTGTGTGACTTGTCTTTGTAAAGTTTGAGGTAATTTCGATAACCGATCTCCAGCATCTGAGAACAATCAACTCTGCAGAAATCTTGCTCTGGCAGCAACTTTCCTCCCACCCCTTGTGTTTACACCAACTCTCACTCTGTGGCCAGGCGATCTGCTATGTAGATCAGTCAGGCCTCAAATTTACAGAGGTTCCAAGTGTTGGGATTAAAGGTGAGTGCCATCACACCTGGCTTCTTCATTTCTTTTGTGTCTTCTTTCTCCCTAAGGGTTGTGATGTATGGATAAAGACTCCAAAAGAGCAAATTAACAAAAACAAGAAAAAAATTACATTTATTTCTGTCAGTGAACTTTCTGTTGATAGAAAGAGAGAATGGCTCAAGAATTCAGGTTGCAAAGAGCGGTACCTCTCTCTCTGTCTGTTCCTGTGTGCTTGTGCGTGTGTGTGTGTGTGTGTGTCAGAGTCAACCTCAAGGGTCCTTCCTCAGGTGCCATTCGCCTTGTTTGCAAGAACTTTACCAACTGAACTATCCCTCGGCCCTGCTTGCTTTTTGACAGGGCTTCACTCTGGTACAGGCTGAGCTGGATGTTACTGTGTGTGCAGCCCATGCTCATGGCAGTCCAGCCTTGGCCTTTAAATGCAGTGTTATCATTGACTGCGGACTCACAGTTGAGAAAGGGACATAGGAAGGCTTCCATGATGACCCCTATTCTCACCCCCTGGAAAAAGTAACAGCCTAGAGAGAAAGCCATTGAACAGAATTCTTAAAAAATTGTGATAAGGATGCTGAAGTGTAGGTCTTCACAGATGATGGCTTCTGGAAGGGGTGGGGCAGGGGAGTACTCAGTTTTCTGTAGGGGCTGGCCACTGGGAATTTGACCATGCTCCAGTAAGTATGTGGGCAACACAAATTGTAATTTTTATTTGGGTGGGGGGAGGCCGTAAGGGTAGGGGGAGCAGACAGAAGGTAGGAGGATTGGGAAGTGACTGTGATGGGGTGCTTTATGTGAAATTCCTAAGTAATCCATACAAATATTATGTTGGAAAAAATAAATAATATTAAGACTCAGTCCCTTGGTCCCACAAGCCACATTTTATGTGTCCAGTATCTACATGTGACTAACACAAATAGCTTTTCTGCACTTGTGTGGAGTTACACTGGATAATGTTTTTCTCACGCTACTGATTTGCAGGCTATTTCAGGCACAGGCTTCTGAGCTTTCCTTTTCCCACCCATTCTTCACTCTGCAGCAGGGGTTGCTCAGAGGTGGGCAGGGCTCTGTGCTGGACACTTGGAAGTCTATTGATGGAACACTAAAAATATGTCTTCATTAGACCACATTGTGTCAAACAAAGGTTTTTTTTTTTTTTTTTAATACTCCAGGAAGCATTCATGTAGTTACAAGTTGTATATGTATTACATTATGTTGTTGTATTACAGAATATGTTTAAATAGCAACAAGGAAAGCGTAAGATAGCAAGCTTCCTTATCTGCCTTGGAAGCCAGTTTTGAATGGGACTTGGCTTGGATGTTTGTCATCTCTACAGGATCTTCCAGGACATGGACTAGACTGTTATCAGTCTCCAAATAGATAGTCCTTCTGTTTCGATCTCTTTCTTAACCTATCTGTTTTGTAAAGCACCTCTCCTTGCTCACCGTAGACCCTATACAGCTTAATTTGTATTAATTTTGTGAGCTTAAATTCATGCTGTATGCATAGTGGCTGCGGGGAAATTGAACTGTTAGAGCCCTTTCCTTCAGTTGCACTGGGCCAGGGCAGATGACACAGCGTGCTGGGGAAGTGCTAGGGAACACGTGGGTGGCGGGTGATGCTGCTCTTACATGGTTCTTTTCCTTTCCTCCATTTCTGCCTTTTTTTTTTTTTTAAGAAAATATAAGGTCCTAGTAGATTGATTTAATTTAAGAATTTTAAAAGCATTTAGATTATCCTTCATATTATTTTGTTAAGATGCTCAACTCTATCTATCTATCTAGACGCAATCTTTCTGTGTAGTTCTGGGTGACCTGGAACTTGCTATGGTGACCAGGCTCCCCTCAAACTCATAGAGATCGTTCTGAGTGCTGAGATTAGAGGTGTTGGCCACCACACCTTAATTTTATTATTCGCTTGTTTGTTCATGTTGTGTACCTGTGCTGCATGTGTGCAGGTTCCCACAGTCAAATGCTCCACCACTCAGCACATGCAGGTTCCTCGAGAGCAGAAGAAGGCATCCATCGCCCTGGAAGTGGTTACAGGCAGTTGTGACCTGACTGCATGGGTTCTGGATGGGGTCTTCTGGAAGAGACAACTTGTCTTAACTAAGGAGCCGTCTCTCTAGCCTCTTCCACCCCTAACCTCTATATTTTTAAGTTTGATGTTAGTATTGGAAAAACTGCCTATACTTAGGACAGAAATGCAGTAGATCTATATAATTCCTGTCAAACAAAGCCAGCACCCCAAGACATGTACTAACATTCATTTAACAAATGTTTTAAAGATGCATTCAATATGGGAAAGGTACTTCCTCTAAAGTAACATTTCTGAAATAGACTTTTAATTTGGGAATTCTAACAGGGAAAAGAAAAATCAATAACAACTGAGAATAAAGTTAGAAATAAAAGAATTGATCAGTTTTTTTTTTGTTTTTTTTTTTTTTTCTTTTAGGGCAAGTTAAAGTCTTCAGAGCTCTGTACACATTCGAACCCAGGACTGTAAGTATTCTGATTTAAGCTGTAAAAGTGACACAGCAATGTAAGGTGATTTTAGTTAAACACCTGTTCTGGCCTAAGTAGTCTGCATTTTCTGCCATTCTGCCACGGCTGTTAGGCAATTCACAGGAAGAGTGTTCAGTCCGTCCCCACTGCTCTCCTCAGTGAGCGCTGAGCTAAATTCCAGGTTGGTTTGCATGGCCTGAGTTTGGATGTCATGGAGTCCCTCACATTGCTTCTCTCCTTGTATGTGGTGACATCTATTTTCAAGTCACCCAGTGGCCTCCATATGGAAATATCTATAAACTTCAGAGACCCAGTCTTTGTCAGGCTTCCTGTGAACCACACAGCAGCTTTCCTTACCTTCTCCTTGACCCTCTACCTCATGCCTTCTGCCAGTCTCCTGGATCAAGATCTTCTTGTCTCTTCTGTATGCATTTTTTCTTTGCTGTGGCTCCTGGTGCTCTTACCCAGGGTGTAGTGTGTCCCTGTATTGTACCACACGCTGCATGAGACCATGAGGATAGTACAGCAACAGCTGAAAGCTAGCGAGGCACGAGTGAGCCAGCAAGCACCAATCCTCCATGATTGGAGGGGTTCCTGCTCCCTCAGTGATAGAAACACAAGCCACATCAGCCCTTTCCTCCTGTATGCTACATGTGGTCAGAGTGTCCTAAGACAGCAACAGGAAGGAAACCGGAACGCCCTCCTTATGTTTCTCTGTAGCTCCCATTCCTGCAGTCACATTGTTTGTATGGCTTTCTCACTCTGAGTACTAATTCACTGCCACCGGGCCAGGGCCTGCCAGGAGATCACCGTCTGCTGTCTCCTAGCCTGGAGACCCAGCTCCTCATTTGAATATAATCCTGGACCCAGAACCCAGATTGAGTTGTCAGCAGGGCTGTTGTCTTCTGAGCCTGTTGTAGTGGCTCACAGTAAGTCACTTTCTCCCCATGTCCTCACATGGTCTCTCCTTGGGTGTGTCTGTGTCCAGTCTCTTCACGCACACCAGTTATGTTGGGCTGAGGTCTGCCTTGCAGCCCTCATTGTATCTTCATCATCTCAACAAAGACCTAGTCACTGAGGACAGTCACATTCTGAGGAGCTGGGAGTTAGGGCAACAGCCTAAGTTGGAGAGGAAGCGCAGAGGGCCATGACAGGTGGGTAGCCTGAGCCCAGAGTCATGTTTAGCTTTGCTTACAGGGACAGTCTCTGATGGGATCTGCATTACCCATGGAGGATAATGAGGGAGGAGAGCACACAGCATCAGTTATCCCTGCCAGAGCAAACAAGCTTGAGGCTGCACAAGCCTCCTTCTGTAGAGTGAGACCTATGTCCCGAGGGTAGATCGAAGTGACTCTTGACTTTCTGTTCTCCCCAGGTGTCCTGAGCTGGGTCACTGCTGTCCTTTCTCACCGACCTCCTCTCCCTGTGCGGCTCCTCCTGACCTTTGGCCTTTCCTCACTCAGTATGACTCAAGCTTCTCTGTTCTATTTGTGTTCCCTGCTCAGTTAATGATTCCAGTGTGTGGCTTTAGTCTGCCACCTGCTGCACATCTGTATTTCACTGTGTGGTCTCCTATGGTCTAGTTCTTGTTTCCAGTGCTTCTGGCCTCTGCCCCTCCTCCTTGTATTACCTAGAGGACTCTCAGTAGAGCCAGTCTCTGCCGCTTTTCTGGACCCATGGTGTAGCCCCTCTATGCTCATGTGAACTGGGTGCCCTCCCATGAATACTGCTCTGGTTCCCCTAGAAGTGGGTGCCTTGTTATACCCAGTTCGTGAGCCCCCCAAATATCTACAGGAATCGACTCCGTTGCAAAACACATGAACGTCTTTTTATTGTAAATTACAAGCTGCAGCTTGGGCCCACACAGCCCCACCGCCGAAGCGGTGGGAGCTGAGCGTGCATCCCCAGGTTAGTTGGGTGATTTATAGATTCTGGTCCCTCCCAGCATACCCAAGGCAGGGGCAATTCCTGCCTGGCAAGCATCTATTGGTCAAGATGCTACATTTTGAATCGATTGGCTATAGGAAGGTTCCCAGACCATTGACCATGATCAGGTGTCCCTCCCTAGGGGGAGGGTCCAGTTTCCTAGCAACCGTATCTCTAGTGGGTGGGGAAAGAATGCAGTGAGGTAGCTCTCCCCTCAGGGCATTACTAACTATTTTACCTCACCTACTCTAGGTTTTAACGATAGCTGCCACTTTATCCTTTGGTCTCTCAGCTCTTTGACTGTGACCTGCTCAGGCATAGTGCTGTACAGGTGCTGTCTCGGGTGCAGAACCCAGGTTCAGAGCCTGCGCTGGGCTTTCTGATTTGTCCTGCCGCCTGTGACCTGGAGGTTACTTAGCCTTTGTCTGTTGTTTCTGTTGGTTTTAGTGAGAATATAATGTAAAGGCAGCAGTGGCTGGGATAGTTTCTATTGCCGAGGAGCGCTGGTTGCTATATTTGATAGACATTAGCAAATATTTTCCTTTGGTTGATATACTGATTACTAATTTACCTCCATTTCTTTGGAAGGAGTTTCTCCATGCTTTTTTTTTTTTTAAAGCTGTGGTCATTATTGAATATATGGAAGAAAATACATATTTAATTCATTAGGTAATTAAAAATATTCTATCAAAAAACTGTAGTTTTTTTGAGGCTACCATCTCACGTGGCCTTCCTTTACCCATCATTAAATATTGAACATTCTCCCAGGCGTTCGTTGACTTCTGTGAGGGCATGACCCAGTCTCTTGGGCAATGCTGGAGCATAGTTTGTTCTCTTGTGGCAGGCATCCATAGTATTTGTAGGGGCACGTAATACACTGAGCACTCAGTGTGTCCTACACAAAGCAGACACACCCCATACCACGACACGAGGACCCCGCAGCACAGCACAGTGCATGCACAGCACACCACACGCTGAGTACACCTCATGCACAACGCGCCATTTACTCAGCGTTCAGTGGCTCAGCTGACACTGGCCGTAGCACTCAGAGAACACAAGCACATCGAGGTGGTAGCACAGCTTATACTCAGCACACCAAGTTCACGGCACATTACAGAACACACCGACTATACAGCTGAGGGCGCCGTACACCGCTGGCGTTCTGAGCACACTGCTCAGGACACAGAGGTCACGGTGCTCCACGCCCTTCAGCACTGCTTGCTTGGCATACCAAGTATGCGTGCCTGGTGTGCCGAGTGCATAGCACATTGTGGTTCATAGCACACCAAGTACCTCTTTCAAGCATTGTGGCCTGGAAATACTGAAGGCTGAGCCTCAAGCTATGGGCCCTTTGCTTTGTATACAGCAGCCCTCAAGGCTATGGCCCTGCTTTTAGCAAGTGGGACAACCCCAGGAGAAAGTGAGAGTGGTGGCCAGCCCTACTTGTGGTAATGTGTTGGCTAGGTAGAACAAGACATGTGTGGCTCCTGATTGTCTGTCTTGCGTCACGGAAAGGTATTTCTGTTATCACCCAGCTCTCCTCGACTCTAACTCTCTTCCGGCCTCCCTTTGGAGGAAGTGTCGCACAGAGGCCTGCCTGGACTGGATAGAGCCGTGTGAACGTGTGTTGACAGGGAGGAACAGTGTGTCTGAGGGGTGTTGGTTTCTGAAGGAAAAACTAGATGGACCTGCTTGGTCCTACAAGGCTTGCTAGGCTGCCCTAGGTGATAATGTGTGAGTGAGGTCTAGAATGTGGGTCCAGAAGCCGAGGCAGGATCCCAGCCATGTGCCTCACTGTGATCTTCAGCCTGTCTGTGTCTGTTTGGTAAATAGAAATACCCAAGACCTAGTTCTGTCTAGTAGGTTTTTGCAAGGACCAGGTGAGGCCAAGCATACTTTGCTTGGGAAAGGGACTGTTTTTGATATTGTTATCCTGCATTATTGAGGACGTAAGACGAGGAATATTTTCCAGAACTGCCATTGTTGAACTATGTCATGACACTGTGATGACCATTAATGGCAATGTGTGATGTTTCTGTGAAAGAAATACATGCTAAGGTTAGGAGTTGTGGCTCTATCATGTGAATATCACATGCTGTATGACAATCTCATCTTTAATAGGACAATAAAAAATGGCCTTACTCCTTAGTATTGCTGTAGAGGATTAAACTAGTACTTACAAAGGTTTCTCTGTGTAGACTTGGCTGTCCTGGACTCACTTTGTAGACCAGGCTGGCCTTGAACTCACAGAGATCTGCCTGCCTCTGCCTTCTAGAGTTCTGGGATTACAGGCATACAACACCATGCCTGGCTAATACTATGAAATACTAAATGATAACATTCCAGGGAAATTTATTTTTTCTATGGATTAATTTTTGTATTTTTAGGTTACTAAATCTAAAAAATTTCAGAAGCATATCATAGTTTTTCTAAACTTCTCAAAAATCACTTATTTGCATTAACCAGTAAAATTACTGCCTTGGAACTCTGTTACCTAGAATACATAGAATAGGAATGAGAATGTCCATTTGCCTTCGGTACTAACATGCATTTGCACTCACTACTGTAGCACCACTTGTTGCTTGTTTTTTAAGGCTTTTGTTTTCCTAGAGACGATGCTCTCCACAGCCTTGAGTTTAGAGCAATCCTCCTGCCTTAGCTTCCTGAGTGCTGGGATCATAGCAGGAGTCACCATGCTGAGCTCACTTTATTCTTCTCATACCTTGTGGCTCTTCAAGGAGAGATGAGAGATTGTGGTTAAAAACCAGAGAACGAGCTGGATGTAATGACGTGCTCGTGGCATCATTGGGTCAGTGCTTTCCCACTTCTGTTCCATAAATACGATGCCCGGTGCCCGGAATGGAAAAGGTCCTCATTGAACAGTCTGTCATTGAAGTGGTCTGTTGTGAATCCTTAATGGAAAATGTGATTCTTTTAGGTAACTGTGGTTTAGGTAAGCCACAGTTAGCTTATTGACTGTCCCCAGTAGTGTCAAGACTTTCACAGACCATCCCTGAGCAAGGTTAGGAAAGCCCACCCCTTCATTTTGTCCCTTTGGAAGAAAACTGTGTAGACAGTTTTTAATAGCTCTCACAGTTAAAAGCTGTGAGAGCTATTAAAGGAGAATAGACTATAAAAACCAAACAAATGGCCTGATCTTTTCCTCATTTGAACAACAAACCTGTCTGGGGCAGAGGGTTACTGCAGGTGACAGGATGGGGTGGAGAATTGGGGAGAGGGTGGAAAGTGGAGAGTGGGGGGAAGGGTGGGAGCTGCAGTCACCCCTGCAGAACAGCTTCTGTTACTTAAAGCCAACTCGGCACTGTGAAGTCTTTGGATGACTCAGCTTAGGGCAGTTTTCCAACTGATGCCCTTTACCAAGCCACAAAAAGACAAGAAATACCTAAAAAATGCTGAGAGTTTTGACTATAATTGTTTTTAAAATTAGGGTAGAACTCACACAACATAAAATTAACCATTTGAAAGGAAACAGTTGAGTGGGATTATTACAGTTGAACAACCACTTCCTTTAACAGGTTCCAAAAACCTTTTCATCACCCCAGAGTAAAACGCTGTGCCCAAGGAGTGGCTGCTTCTCACTCTCTAGCTCCCTACTCAGTTTATATAGAAAAGTAACCAGAGATTTGAGGTGTGTACAAGTGTATACACGTGTGCTTGTTGTAGGCTATTTATTTGGCAGGGATGCTTTTCATGGGTTTTTGGTCGTTTGTTTCACAGATGAGTGATCATATAACGATGGGAATTTAGGCACACCTGACTTTGGAGGGAGACTGAAGCAACTGGAGAAGGTGGCTCCTTGGCTTCTCTGAGAGCACTGAGTGAGTTCTGAGTGGACAGGTACAGGACAGGAGTAGCTCAGGACACATCGAATGTGGAGCAGGCACATGTGCAGCTTGTAGAACTCCGGGAAGTGCAGTCACAGTAGACACCACTGAGGGTCTCAGCTGCCCCTGTCTCAGTTAGGGTTTAATTGCTGCCAAGAGACACCATGACCATCAAGACTCTTTTTTTCTGCCCTGCGAGACAGGGTTTCTCTGTGTAGCCTAGGCTGTCCTGGACTCAATTTGTAGACTAGACTGGCCTCAAACTCACAGCGATCTGCCTGCCTCTGCTTCCTTGAATGCTGGGATTAAAGATGTACGCCACCATGCCTGGCTCCATGGCAACTCTTATAAAGAAAACATTTAATTGGGGCTATCTTACAGTTTCAGTTCAGTCCATTATCATCACGGTGGGAAGCATGGCAGCGTGCAGGCAGACAGGGTGCTGGAGAAGAAGTGGAGAGTTCTACATCTTAATCCACAGGCAGCAGGAGACTGTGTCACACTGGGCATAGCTTGCACATAGGAGACCCCAAAGCCTGCCTTCACAGTGACACGCTTCCTACAGTAAGGCTATCCCTCCTAATATTGTCACTCCTTATGGAGCGAGCATTCAAAAACATGAGTCTTTGGAGGCCATTCCTGTTCACACCACTGTAGCACCTCCCCACCATTCTAACTAAGTTCCTCTTTTCTTCTCCTGTCTTGGTACCTTCTATGGAGAGATGCACTCAAGTGGTGATAAAATGCCAGCTTAATGCTCTGAGATGGCCACTGTGATGCTGCCATGCTGTGGTGATGAATGTAATGTCTCTGAGAGGATCCCGTTTGCAGCTAGTTTGCAGCAACAGAAATGGTTTCTCTAATCATTTACTGTGACTGGAATATTGGAAGTAATATTGGCCATCCATCTTCATGGCTAGAGAAAAATCTCAGAGTTCTTTTATTTCTCTCTTCCTGAATATTATTTCAAATGAAGTTACAGTGCACTTCCTCGGGTCCAGTGGGTTTAACTTGTTTTGTGTAGCTTCTGCTGTAAATCTAGCCTCTGGAAATCAAAATGTAAAGGTAATAAATGCTTTAGGAAGTTGCCTTTAAAGGAAGTCAGCCATTTTGGAGGCGATCATAAGTCACCATTCACTACTTTTTATGTCTGAGTGCACCTTTCTTCTGACTTTTTACTCTGATTGCTTTAAGCATGGTGCAGTTGATAACAGTCTTTGTAGTTAGGAAAAAGCAGCAACAATAGTGTAGATCCACTATGAAATGAAATCCATCACTAGGGCAGAGTCATATATGCTCATCCCTGTTTGCTCTGGAGAGGAAGCAAACACTTGGGGAAATGAATGGAGGAAATAATTTGTTTTACTAGTATAATTTTTATTTTGTGTGGAATAGGCAGAAACAAGTCTTTTTCTCTAGATATTTTCCTTCTAGTGTTGTAAAAGTGTGCTTGGTAATAGCAGCAAGCTTCTGTGCATGACTTATGCACAACCATCATCTCATCCTGTGTCTGTGCTTGGTGCATCTCTGTCCAGAGCTGAGATTGCCTTTCAGTGGGCACTGCCTCCTGTTTACTCAGAGACTCATGGTTTTGTCTACTGGCCATAGCAAGATGTGTAAACCTTTGGCTTTCCTTAGAGAGCCTGCAGGCACTTGCTGGGTTAGGCCAGGGAGACACTAGTGATGAAGCTAGGCCCTGGAGTTGCTAGTGTTTCTGAGTGGCCAGAGTTACTGCTTCTTGTACTTGAGCTTGCTTAGGCTGTCAAGGCTGAGTTACATACTATTACTCATGTACAAGAAACAGTCATTCTCTGTGAGCATGAAGATCATGTAAGACTTTTCTGAAAATAAGCAAGTATGAGCATTAATATTTTCATGGTTTTACTTTTAGACATTTATCCTTATATGCATACATATGTACATATCTCATCTACCATAGTTTCTAAGAGGGAAAAGTTTTACCAGTATTCTCTGTTCATGTGAAAATCTTTTGTGATGGAAAAATATAAAAGCTATTAGAAACTCTGTTTGTTATATATACAGTTCTTTGACAGCATTCATTACAGGACAAATCTAGCTTTGGAATTCAAGTATTAATTTACTATGATATTTTGTTGTGTGGTTTATTTGTTAATGTAACTATAGAAGCAATATTGTCTATAAGAATACTTTAGGAATCAGATTACAAAATGAAAGAAATAACTGTATTCTAAGATAGGAAAAATTCACAGAGTCAATGTTGTTTTGCTTTTTTCCTTCTAGCCAGATGAATTGTACTTCGAAGAAGGAGATATTATCTACATCACTGACATGGTAAGCTGAGCTGATGTTCTGTTCTACCACATGCAGACTGTAGATATGATAACGTAGTGCTAGACTGTTTTAGGTAGTCATAACATTGTAGGTTACAGTAAGTGTGTATTTACGTGGAAATATAGATGCACAGTATCGCTTTTTGACACAGTTATGGTATCATACCATTGAAAGTCATCATTTTATTCATCAGTACTAAATAGTTGAATAAGCTTTATTATGGCCACAGATGGCCCTCTGCATTCATACAAAGAAACCAGGATATATTTCAGATTCTATTCTGATGTAATTCAAGTGGAATAAAGCAAGATAAAAATGCCTATATTATGCCTTACTTGTCTAAGGAAGGGTAAGAGGCTATAAATATGCCTCTGTTTTCTTACATTGAAAATAAAGACACATTTGCAAAATATGACTTTAAATCACATTTCTCTATATGAAGGAAGGGAAAATTTATTTTTAAAATTATAATTTCTTTTGAAGATTTGACTTTGGAATAATATAACCTTTTATGTGGCTATAAAATTAAATAATAAAAAGCAGTCCTTAAAAATTAAGAACAAAACTGGGTATGGTGGTGCAAGACTGCAATCCCAGCACTTGGGGAGGCAGAAGCAGGTGGATCTCTGTGAGTTCAAGGCCAGCCTGGTCTACACAGTGAGTCCAGGACAGCCAGAGGAACCTTGTCTCGACAAATAAAACAAAACAAAACAATTAAGAGCAGAATGAATCAGATGACTTTAATCATACACTTTCAGGTAGCCTAGCCACACAGAAAGGAAGTATTCTCAGGAAGACCTGGCAGTTTGACTGAACATCCCTAGTGACTATATGAGACAAAACAGAACTGCCAGTAAACAAACAAATGAGTGAATGAATAATGAATGAGTACCCATCTTGACAGATATCTGCTCTGAGGCTACTGTGCTTCTGGCATTTGAGGGCAAATTAGTCATTAGGTCACCGATGTCCACTGTGGGCTCTCAGCATGGGAGGAGGAGGGTGCGAGGATGTCACTCAGTAAAATGTAGTAGAAACACAGGAGTCCTTCATTTGAATCAGAAAAACATCACATTTGATCTTTGAAGGGGGCCTTAGAAAAGGGACAACCCAGTAATAATTTATTACTCTCATTGAAAGGAACAAGGCCCCTTTGAGAAATGGCTATTACCAGCTATAGGGTATTAAATGGACAAGATAAACTGAACATCTTATGACTGCAATAGAAGGCAGCTTCAAAAGACTGCAGGGGCCATACTGGCATGATAAGGAAACCAATATGCACTGCCCAGAGATGGGGCAATTTGGGTGTCAATCAGGGCAACAACTCTCAAGGATTGAAATTAAGGATTGTTTTAAATTTATGGTTTCCTAATGTCACCTCAAAACAGATCCCACTGATACTGTGAGGGAGCGCTTTGGGGACTAGGGTTATTATTCTGACAACAGGTGAGGGAAGGAGTCAGTACTTACTCTGTCCTTTCTTCCTGAACTTTACCTTGAATGACCTAAGAGTTGGTAAGGGAAAGTTACTCTGTAGAGAGATTGCTACTTATTTAAGTGGAAGAGCACCCCCATTCTGCAACCCCTGTGATCATTGACAGCAGCTACCACTCCTACAGAGGCAGCCTTGCCTGTGTTACCACCCATGCAGCAGCCTTCCCATAAAATGCCGCTGAGTCTCCTTACGTTTCTAGAACTCAACAGTGACTCATGGATAATGCACAGAACAAGTGGATGTATTTAATGATAGCACAGGCATGCAGCATGCAAAATCCTGACTGTTCAATTTCTATAGAAGAAATAAATTGTTCATTCAATATATATTATATTTACATATATATGTATGTATATACATACACACGCATATATGAAAGACCTACAGAACAAGCCACAACAAAATCAACAAAGAAAAGAGTGGAGGAGGAATCTGTAAATTAAAGGAAATGTAAGAGAGAAATTAGTTGTATTATATGATCCTTTTTAGAAGGATCTCAAGCTGTGGGCCATTAGGAATTTTGACTTTTGACTTAGGTATTTGATGATGTTAAGGAATTTTTGGGGAAAAGTTTAAAGCTGTTATAATGGTGTCACAGTTGACTTTGAAAAATTATTTATCTTACACATGCATATTCTGATTTTTCTAGAGTTAAAAATTACACCACCTAACACTAACCCCAGCAACCCAGAGGGGAAGGAAGATGGGTGAGGGGTAGTGGTTACACACAGCTAGCAAATGGCTTATCACATTGTTCTTTCTGCTTCTGTATAGATGTGAACTTTTGTATAATAAGTTACCCAAAAGTGAAGATAAAACAAGAAAAAAAACTTTGTAGAATGTGGCAAAACATAAAAGTATATCAAAGAAGAGATGTTAAAATCTGGCCATTTAAATTCTGTAGCTATAATCTAAATGAATGCATTTTCCCCCTTTTCTCACATGGTCCGGTTTGTTTCATTGAAGCTCTGTGACGTGTATCTGACATGAATGGTGGATGCTTGTGTCCTTATGTTTGTGATGATGGAAATGGATGTAGATGGCAAGGGTTTGAGGATGCTGATCAGTGAGGTGGTGCACTTGGGAACTCAGATGGTTTCAGATACAATTACATGCTGACTCCCTTGTTCTCTTTGCAGAGTGATACCAACTGGTGGAAAGGGACATGCAAAGGCAGAACAGGACTGATCCCGAGCAACTATGGTAGGTGTCCACCTGCACTGTGAGCCTGCTGTTTGTAGGATGGCCATGCACTCCAGGCCACACTCATTGCTTATAGCAATTCCTTGTAACATGAAAAGAGGTGGGTTTGATTCTGTTTTTCTTTTTTGATAGAGGATATGGCATGTTAAAATGCACAGGCTTTCTAAAAAAATTTTCTTGGAGAATTTCATCCCTGTATACAAATATTTTAATCTTCCTCCACCTTCAACTCTCCGTTTCCTGTAACATGCCCCCTCCCAACTTCATGTTTGTGGTGAAGAAGTCTCACTTTGTTAACACACATTTGGGCCAGTTATAAGGCACAGGATTGGTAAACAAAGGTCCTGGGTTTTAGCCTTTTTTTTTTTTTTTTTTTTTTCCACTTAGTAACAGGATGTAGTGCTAAAGACACCCTTCAAGTGATGCCGCTGGGATCCGATTGCCCATCTGTATAGTGGAGTATGGAGTTTCGATCCCTGTAAGAGCCTTTTAGGCTTTAGACTCCTTAGGCTGACAGAGCTGGCATCACAGTCTGTCACACAGGCAGTGTTGCCCTGCTCTTGGCCCCTGATGCTTGACCCCACAGATGGAAATTAGAATTATTATCAGGTATCCTCAAAGCAAAGGTGTGTCACAGAACTTGAAACTGGGTACTTTTTATGGCTGTTTCTTTTTGAGTAAACTTGGTGTTTGGTTCAGGGATCTGTTTGCCTTTGTTTCTGTTTCCATTAATAGCTGTGCTTGCTATTGTTTATGCTTGCAGTTAATTGCTGTGTTACTTACTGCCTCATTGCTTGGCTTGGTTTCATTTAACACGGAATGCAGCCTCTTTTAAAGGAAGCACTATCAGTTATTTTCTGTTACTTCTAATCTACATTAAGTAAGTAATCAAGCTGTTGTATCTGAGGCCCTGGCTATGAAGCTGGGTGTCCATGGGGCATGACCAATTCCCATTAATCACTGAGTGACCTCAATGGTGGGCTTGTTTCTTTGTTTTCAATCTAGTGGCTGAGCAAGCAGAATCCATTGACAATCCATTGCATGAGGCTGCAAAAAGAGGTAGGTTTGATTCTGTTTTTCTTTTTTGATAGAGGATATGGCATATTAAAATGCATAGGCTTTCTAAAAAATTTTTCTTGGAGAATTTCATCCCTGTATACAAATATCTTAATCTTCCTCCACCTTCAACTCTCCATTTCCTGTAACATGCCCCCTCCCAACTTCATGTTTGTTTGTTTGTTTGTTTGTTTTAAATAAGCAACCTCCGAGTTCAGTTATTATGTACATGGCTATGGAGCCATCCATTGGGGGATGGGCAACCTAGTAGTCATACTCCCAAGAGAAATGACTTTCTTCATCAGCTGTCAACTTCAAATAGTTTCTCAGCTAGGAATGGTGCCTCAATAAACCCCTCTCCCATTCAAATAGGAATTCCGACTGGTTTGGTCTTATGTGTATAGCCACAGGGGCAGCAGCCACGTCATGTCCAGAAGACAGGATTTTTCAGTACTCTTCTCCATTCTCTGCCTCTCATGTTCTTTCTCTTTCCTTGCTCTGCAGTGTTTCCTGAGCTATGGATAGAGAGGAGGTGATACAGATGTCCCATTTAGGGCTGAGCACCCCACACTCACTCTTTCTCAGCACTTTGACTGGTTGAGTCTTTGTATTAACTGCTGTCTGTTGCCAAAAGGGAGCTTCACTGACCATGGTGGAGAGCAGCGCTAGTCTATGAGCATAAACATACATATTTAGAAGGCATAACCGCTTTCTAAACAATGCACATGTTCATTTAATAACCACGTGACCATTTAAAGAAAGTGGTAGAAGGTTACCCCTATAATCTGTGAAATCCCCAGCCATGGGCGTTGACAAGGTTTTCAGTACCAGACCTGAAATCCCTTCTGTTTAACAGGCTTCAAATAGAATCAAAGAAATTGGTTTGGTTGTCCTATAGCAGTCATGCTACTATTGTACCGTTAAGCACGTGTTGCCTGGCAGGTCAATATTATAGCAAAATGCCCAGGTTTTAATTATATAGTTTGATTAGTTTGACAAGAACATATATACCCAGAGCAGCAACATCCAGATTAAGGTCTAGAACATTTCTGTCATCTCAGAATGTTCTGTGAACCAAAATCCCTGCAATCTCACACCCCAGAAAGATAAGAGTGATTTTAATTTTAAAATACCAGGTAGCAAACACTTTTTTAAGCTCTTAAGAAAGGTCATGATCTGGTTCTTAAAGCTCAGAGTAAGATAGGGGCAGTTAGGTCTAACAGATCCTTAAAATCCAATGTTCTGAGTCCTGGAGGGCAGGAGGGTAGCCTTGCCCTGGGACATATAGTACTAAGGAGAGTGTGGATATTGGGGGGGGGGGGTTCTAACCCAACAAGAATGGGAGCTGTCTTGACTTTCTTCCTGGGGTGACACTTACTTCCCACAAGCCTGGAGCACGTGGTAGTATGTGGGGACATTTTGACTGTCACAAGTATAGGGATGGTACTGGCATTCTTCCTATGGAGGCCCAGGCTGTTGTGAAACATCTTACAGTGCCCAAGGCAAGCCCCATAACAGAATTTCTCTAACCCCAAACACCCATAGCAGTTCTATTAGGAAACCATTCTTTGAATAATGGGAAATTCTGATGCAGCCTCAGCAAGCTATTTCATTCTGTTCCAAAGCTGCATGTGCAAAGGAAAAGGAAGGGCTTATACTAACTAAAATGACAAAAAAACAAAAAACAAAAAACCAACCAACCAACTAACCAAACAAAAAAAACCAAAAAAACCCAACTTTTTTTGAGCCAGTTGGTGGCATATGCCTTTAATCCCAGCACTTGGGAGACAAAGGTAGGCAGATCTCTTAAGTTCTGAGTTCAAGGCCAGCCTGGTCTATAAAGCTAGTTTCAGGATGAGCTAAGGCTACACAGAGAAACTCTGCTTGTAAAAACCAAACGAAACCAATCCAACCAAACAAAAAACTTTCTTTGTAAATGAGACACTTAGGATAATAGTCTGAAAATGTTAAATTAATAACTATATTTTAGCATATAACAGTAGCTTTGAGCAGCTTGATATTCTTTCAAAACCTGAAGATGTCTTTAAATGTGAATAGAGAGAGTTTCTATTTGTAGTTAGGTTTTGTGTTACACGGTGCCTTTCAGTATTAAACAGAGGGAAAAAAAATGTCTTTTTTTTTTTTTTTCCCAAAACAGAAATACCTTTAGACCTATTTTGGCAACTCTACCCATTAAAAATGGATGTTACTGCTGTTCTTCAATAACCCAGAGTGCAAATGCACCATAATATAAGTGCATTAGTGGGCAGGTCTTGTTTGAAGATTTGCTGATTAATCCATCACAAATGGGAGTTTACGGAGGATGAAATTGATTTAGAAGCAAAACAAAGAATAAAAGGCTTTCCTTGTGTTTTTTCTAAGTGTAACATTCTTTCAGGCAACTTGAGCTGGTTGAGGGAGTGCTTGGACAACCGAGTGGGTGTGAATGGCCTGGACAAAGCTGGAAGCACAGCCCTGTACTGGGCCTGCCACGGGGGCCACAAAGGTACTGCGTCTTCTAGTCACACACATCTAGGCTGTTGAGAGATCTGCTTCGCCTTCGGGAGCCTGCCTCTTTTAAGTGATAAAAGCAATGCTGCGAATCCTTCAGGACATCGGCCAAAGGCTGTGTTTCTGGAAACTGCAGAACAGTGAGGGTGGGATGTGGCTGCTGAGCCCCTCTGCGGGGACTTCCCTTCCTCTCTCAGGCTTCAGAAAGTACCAGAAAACACCGGTAACAGGATAACAAACCCACCGTCTCCTGCCACAGGGGGAAGGCAGAGTTTACGTTACATAGCCTTTCCTTAGCTATGCTTTTGGACCCACATTTTAAATTTACTGCAAAATTCTGAAGTACCACATTGACTTAAGTCTGTAATTCTGTTGCAGTCAGTAATAATGCCAGGTTGAATTTTTCCATGTGTTTCATTCTAGCTCAAACCCCACTGTCCATTCTTTTTCATCAAATAAGATAAGTCTCAGGGTCTTTAATTTTTCTTTTGTAATATACCTTTTAGGCTTTCTTTCTAAACATAAAATTTGAGAAACTTGTAAGAATTTTCTAGATCACTCCTAAGGTGTTTTGTCTTTTGTTATTATGATGTCTGCTTTTACAAAGTTCACTGTTTCTGTCTTTTTTTTTTTTTTTTTAATGCCTTTTTCTGTTTGAATTGCAGACATAGTGGAGGTTCTGTTTACTCAACCGAATGTGGAGCTGAACCAGCAGGTGAGGCTGCTTACTGTGGGGAATACATTTGGCATCCCCACCTCTTTACTGTCCGCGCACTACAGCCTGCATGCATATACAATATTTTAGTTCAGATGCTGCAAGCATACAGAGATGTGTTGTTGTTACTGTGTTTCTGTGTTGTGGTACTGGGGTTTGAAGCCAAGTCTTCACACAAGCTCTTATTTCACTCTTACTTTGAGTAACATCCTTTATCCTTTTCTTGTTTGACTGTATAATACCACCTGATATGGCTGGTACATTAGGGATTGCTTTTAAAAATGTTCTGTGCTGTTTACTGTGCCTTTCCTCCCCAGGAGCTTTTTATTTTGTTTAAATTGGCCTCTCAGACACTTAGGCCGTCTTCAAACACCCAGCATCTCAGTTCATCCATTTATCTGTGTGATCAGAAGCTTGGTGGACTTGGCGAGGGTGGGCTCCTCCTCGATGGACTTCAGTAGGGTGGGGGGTGAGTCCTCTCCTGTGTTGCTGAGTATGCTAAATAGCATTCCTACCCCCAAGGTGGGGCTGTGCTGCAGAGGGAGTCAGCACTGTCCTGCCCGAAAGCAACCCCTCTCACTGTCCTCACCAGGCAGTGGAGTAGAAATGGCTGAGGGGAGGAACGATCTAACTCTTCACTGTACAGGTTTTTTTTTTTTATCTGACTGGCTCTTGTCCTCTTTTTGAACCATTGTGCATGAGCTTGGGAACCCTGGTAATTTCTCAGCAGGATAATTCTAACTGTTGTCTAGTGGGACATTTGCCAGCAACTGGTTGTAGCATTCTAATGATATACAAATCTATTTGGCACCTCCTGTTTTTACTCCATGCCTCATTCTTGCCCCGTGCCCCTTAGGAGTTTTCAGTTCCTGACTGTTGCTGAGTGTCTGTGCATTTCCTGCGGGAGTCTCCCTCCCTCTGAAGGAGGCTGTGCCTTAGCCTGTCTCTGCCCTTTTAGTTTTGCTTCTCCATCCCTCCCAGAGAGAGCAGCTCTTCTTGTTGCTTGAGCTCTTCTTTCCTTTGGAATTCCATGTGGTTCTGTAGCTTCTGTCTTCGTTTATATTTACACGCATTAAACCTGTATTGCTGCCTTCGCCCAGTCCACATTGTGTTTTTATCACACTATTTTCCCGTTCTTTCACCATAGAACAAGCTGGGAGATACTGCTCTGCATGCAGCGGCCTGGAAGGGTTATGCAGACATTGTTCAGTTGCTACTGGAAAAAGGTAACTTTTTTTTTTAATTGAATCTTCCTGATCTTTGCTTGCCTTGAAAACTAGCTCCTAATGAAGCAGGGCATTTGAAGTAGTAGGAAGACCAACTCCCCTTCCGTTAAAACTGGAGTTTTAACCTCTATTCTGTGTATATGGTGTTATTACAACTGAGATGAAATAATTGGGGGTACATTTATGGTACTTTTTACTGTGAATTAAGATCTTGATAAACTTAAAAAACACATATAAATGTACTGTTTTTAGAAGGAACTTACCGTGCCTGTCTGTATGACTGTAGGGCTTTAGGAGATGGGTGTTTCAGGGTACCATGTTCAGAGTTGAGTTGGAGTGAAGTTGCTGAGGCTCCTCCTTGCTTGGGAGAGTTTTAACAGCCAAGAGAAATGCTGCAGCTGCTGTTGCCTAAGCTGCGCCATTGCTGAGGTGTGAACGAGGATACTTTGATCTCATCTCTTGCTTTGGTGTGATTCATAGCAAACAGCTGCTCATCCAATTTGTCTGCTTGTTCCATAAATGTTAACCACTCTTACAGAGTGTTAGCCAGGCGTAGAACTCAGCAGCTTGGCCCAGAGGCCAATAACTGCAGAAACTTTCTCCAAGCCACGAGTTTGAGATTCTATCTTTAGGAATATTTGGGGGCAGCATTGTGGAATTTGTGAGCAAGGACGGTTTTGGTTTAAGTGTGACGATGACGCAAACCCCTGGTCTTAAAGATTACTGACCATGAGGACTCTTACTGGGTTTTTCTAAAGGACGTGCTGAAGGCTGTGCTGTCTAAGGTGGCAGCCACAGGCTGGGTGCTGCTGAGCCACACTCAATGAAACACCTGTAAATGTTGAGATGCATTGAGTTTTGTGCATACTCCAAGAAAAGTACCCTATCACTTAAACACTGTTCAGTTAAACATGAACTTACAAGGCTGGTGAGATGGCTGAGCAGTAGAGGTGCTTGTCATGAGCCTGAGGACTTGAGGTCAGTCCCTGGGACCCACACCGTGGAAGGAGAACAGCAGCTCTGGCCTTACATGTACAGCATGATACAGGTATCCATACACATAGAAATAAATGTGGTTTAAAAATACAATACAGAGCAGCACAGTGTGGTTTAATTTTGTGCACATGTTCGTATGTGTGTAGATCATGGCAATGTAAGAGAGACAGCTCAGGCCTACTCTTAAGGGTGGTCACCTTTGAAGAGCTTAGTTCAGGGGAGGAATCAGCACTGTTGAATTCACCTCTATATTTTTGTTTGTTTGTTCTTCAGCAGTGCAAGTGTGCTCATGGGTTCTGATATGATTTTTAGCATAAAGACAAGGAAAAAATGAGTGGAAGAGGGCTTACAGGGACAATGAATTGGGAACAATGAATTGCTTATGAGTTCTATTGTTTTGCCTTGTGCTGATTTGCATGAGTGCACCTGCAGATATAAAATATTGGTCCTGTGATGTTCAACCCAGTGAGCTTTTTTAAGGACCCTCATGAGCTGAGGGAGAGGCAAACGGTGTGATGGATTGAAGCCCCAAAAGCTTCCTGTTGACATCCATGTAACCCTTGGGGTTATGGTTGTGGCTTCATTTTAGGATTTATCCAGGGTAATAGGCTCATTGAAAAGCCCATGTACAACCCCTTGGAGCCCGGATGGGAGGAGCAGCATGCTCTCTGATGAACCATGCTGGCCACAGTAATTCTGGGCTAGAACTGTTCTCTCAGTAGCTTTGCCTAAGTGATCAGAGGACTGGCTGATGCTTTCTAGTCTGCAGAGACAGACGCTTTCCTTTTCTTGTGTTGGGAAGGTGCGAGGACAGACTTGAGAAACAATGAGAAGAAGCTGGCCTTGGACATGGCCACCAACGCTGCCTGTGCATCACTCCTGAAAAAGAAGCAGGGAACAGGTATTTGTTTACATTTCTCTCCTTGTTGTGCTTATGACCAAGACTTGCAGGTTTTTATGATTCTAATTTTTAATATATGCCATTGATCTAATGAGATCTAAAGTAGAACAATGGTATCAAGCAAACAAATTTGAAGAAAGATAAGGTCTTTCACATGGTTGTTTCTTGTGTTCTTTGCTAATGATTGGTGTACTTTCCACCTTCGAGTCATGATATCTTGAGTGGCTGAAGGTAGGCATAGCTAAAGTTGGTGTTCACCACTCTGTGATTGCCTTATGCTTTAGATTTAATGAGAGTAGCGGTCAACTGTAATTGAAATTATTCTAGGCTTTGTCAAAGATTGTGGAATCTAACCATAGTATTGTGGATGGTTTTTAAAATTTAAAGATGGGACATACATTTTTAAAGATTAAAATACAGATGTAGGAAAATAAATGTGAAAGAATGAAATGAAGGTTATACATGGTGGTGGTTTGAAAAAGAAAGGGGTTGTCTTAAGTAGTCTGTGTTTTATTCCTGTGAAGACACACCATGACCGAGGCAACTTTTATAAAAGAAAGTATTTAACTGGGGGCTTGCTTACCGTTTGAGAGGGGTTAATCCATGATATCATTGTGGGGAACATGGCAGGAAAGCATGGGTGCTGGAGAAGTAGCTGAGAGCTGTTCTGTAGACAGCAGGTAGAGAGAAAGGCAGACAGACAGACAAGGGCGGAGAGACAGACACAGACTGGGCCTGACATAGGCTTTTGAATCCTCAGTACCCACGGCCAGCCACACATCTCTTCCAACAAGGACACACCTCCTAATCCTTTCCAAACAGCCCATCAGCTGGGGCCTAAGCATGTGATTCTCAGCCAAACCACTACAGGGTTTAAAATGCAATGTGCCTCCTCAGAGGCTAGCTGTCTGTTGCCTTCCCTGTATGTGTCCAGCGAGGGTGTGCCTTACAGTCTCAGGCACCATAGGGTCGGGGGGGTGGGGGGGTCGGGGAGCAAGTAGTACCATGCAGTTGTGGAGGCCAGAGAACAACCGTTCAGGAGTTGGTTCTCTCCTTCCACTGTGGGATCCCGGCATTGAACTCTGGCTGTCAGGCTCACACCTTTTACCCACTGAGCCATCTCCCAGGACCTCTATTATGTTAAGTTTAATACTTCTTCAAAGTTTAAGCCATTAACCTAGCTAGTGCTTTGCTGGCCACTCATTACAAGCCTTGGTAGTTCTTTAGTGTCCAAGGTTCAGCTGATCCGAGACTGTGGAGTCAGCCTTTCCATTATAGAGGTGAAAGATGTTTGTTTCCGGGTTAACCTGGTTATATTACTCTTCTCTACTTCTTTTTCTGTCACATGGAAAGCTGGTTTCATTTCCCTTTATTCCAATTATTTTTGAATCGTGAGGAAACTTAGCCCTCTCTCAGGTGTCATTAGTCCCTGGAATTAGCCAGTTACTCAGTGCCATGGTCCACTCCCAACAGAAGTAACAACAGTGGTGCTTCTTCATCACCTGCCTTAGCCTGTCAGAAACAGCCAGCATTCTCCCTCTCTTTGAGGCTTGTTAAGAGAACCTCTCAGATTATCCCCCTTGTCCATCACCAAGCCCCATCAGAAGCCCCTTTTGTATATGTTTCACCTCAGTTCACATACAGTGTAAACCAGCCTAAAATTTGGAATTTTAACCGGGAGTAATACTCATTGGAAGATTGGTGTTGCTGTATAGGCACTCATTTACTGATGTGGCCCCTAGAGGGAATGACGAAGTATTTATTAGTTTAGCTGGGGCTGCCCAGCTACAGATTTGGGGGAAGCCGGATTAGCAACTGTGTGGGACAGAAACTAGAAACTATGTTTGTTACTATGTGTATAGCTTTTGCTTGAGGTTGATCTCCTTCCTGGCCCTTGCTGTCCAGTTGGGTCAGGAAGGAGGGCTGTGGCCTAACTTCCTTTCGCTACCACTGACTTCCTGTTGCTAGACTAAAACTTTCAGAGAGACTGCACTGAGGTATAAGGCTTCTTAGGCGCTGGAGGTTCTAATTCTGTTCCTTGAGCTTGTTTCTGACCAGCTCTCTTTGATAGAATCTTTGCTTTCCAGCTTGATAGAGTTCTAGGCCCATCTTCCCATAGGCTCCACTGACTTACCACAAATCATATTTTCCTTTTGGCGCCTGTTCAGGATTGCTTTTGCATTTGAATGGTGTTCAGATTTATCATTTTAATTTCAGTCTCTCACTTCTTCTTAAACTGACCTTTTCAGAAATGAAACCGAAGCCACTGTGTTTTCACGCCCCTTTTCTTTGGTTGTCTTTCTGTCTCTGCCTTCAGGTAAGGCGCAGGCTGCGAGCTGACTGACACCTCTTGGAGTGGCTGCTGGTGTTGGCCACAATGCATGTGGCTGGTTGCTCTGTGCTGGACTCAGACAGGTGGTCCCTCCACCAAGTGCCTCGCTCTGTCACGTGACTTGATGCCCTCTGCAGCAATCAACTTCTTAGGCTAAAAGCAGTGATAGGAAGGTCTCAGGGACAGCACTGACAGTGAAGAAAATTCTGAAGTTTGTAATTTCTTTGTTTTGCTTCCTTCCTGTGTTCCCTTTAGGTGGGGTTCGAACGTTAAGCAACGCTGAGGACTACCTTGATGATGAAGACTCAGACTGATTCCTCCTGGAGCTCCTTTGATGCCTAAACTTTTTTTTGCTTTTGCCATTCCACAACCTTGGTTGTTTTGCCAGAAGAGTATTGATGTGTGTCCTTTTTATAGTCTGTGTGAACGCGGCACTGCTGCACTGTGGCTGTGAGTCGGCACGTGCATGGGTGGGTCTCACCTGTGGCTTGCCAACCAGTGACGAGATACTTCGCTGTAAACAATACATATATGCTCACCAGGGTAAAACAAAACAAAAAGATTATTTCTATTTATCAAGCTAAAGAAATTTTAATACTTTTTCTTTTAAAAAAATCAGATTTTTTTTAAGTCTTTACCTCAAGGAATGGGATGTTTTGAGTGGGTTTTTCAAGGGGGAAATGGGGGAAATGCTTATTATAATAGACCAAAATTCTGATAGAAAATTGTCAGCTCTTCTGACAAAAAATAAACAGTTAAAGAGACTTTATTATCTGTTTTTTTGTTTTGTTTTGTTTTGTTTTGTGCTATCCCTCATTGCTGGTAATTAAATAAAGCTTATTATACTCAGGTAAGAATTGATTTTATCTTACTTTTAGATTGCACTTTGTGTTGATTAGCACCGAAGAATCATAATAGCTGTGTTTCACAGCTTACCGTATCTGCTTTGCTCAACACAGTAATGAGTTGCATGTCCAAGAAAAGATAAACTTTTAATAATTACGAAATACTCAGAGTTGCATTCAAGGCAGTACTTGAGTGTAGAAACTCGGTGACTTCGTTTCACTTTGATTGAAGTTGTGGAAGCTTTCCTTATGAAAGCTGCCATGATTTTCAGTGCGGTGTAGTTAGGACACGTGAACCTTTCTCTCTCAGGTAATGTTTGTTTTTTCAAAGCATGTGCCCAGCTCACAGGGGTTTGGATTCTCTTGCTGAGTCATGTGATTTAGGGAGCCTTTTGCAGTACTGAAATGACACTTCATATAGAAGTTCTGATTTTGTGTCACCGTGTTAAAAATGGCATGGTCTCACAGTGTGTCTAGATTCCCAGCCCTAGGCTCAGAAATACACTTTCAAGAATTCACTGCTCATTTCAAAAGGCTTATTGGTCAAGTGAAGGAAATGTGTGAAGAAGGAAGCGGGTGAGCTCAGGAAATAAGTGATGCCTGTGTAGGTGCATCTTCTAGCCACAGCCGCCTTTTCTCCCCGCAAGCCCCTTGAGAAACACACCTGGAGGAACCAGCTTGAGGTCTTCCAGATTCCTCGACTCATTTAGCAGAAAAGAACCTGTGGTAGAATTGACAGCGAAGAATCGGCTCAGGGCTTAATGAAGGGGCATGTTGTCCTCTCCAGATAGATGTGCCATTACACTGTGTTTCTTTCTGCTCGTCTGAGACAAGGTCTTGCCAGGCAGTCATGAGACTCGCTATGTAGCCCATGTTGTCCTCCAACTTTGCCTCTGCCTCCCAAGTGCTGGGGTGGTAGGCTTGGGCCACCATGCCTGACTTTCATACAGCCACTTGTATTTCTGTATAAGCATAAGAGGAAAGATGCCAATTCCTTCCAGAAATTTTCTCTCTTCCTGTAGAACTTGGCAGGATTTTCCCCTAAAACAGGATATGTACCTCCGCAAAAGCGCTTTTTAGAGATCCTGAAATATTTCATTCTTTTTGTCCTTTGTAATCAAGGCAGTTAAACAGTTACTGACAGGGCAGAGACACTGACAGATAAGTAAAGGTATTTGGGGGTGGGGAAGGGTCACATTTAACTAGCTACTACCAAGTAGGCATACAAGCTGCTTCATCCCTCCCCTTTTTTCCAGACCCATCCTGCCGCCACCTTTACTGCCTGGGTGCTTGGAGTCCCAACCTCAAGTTCCCCAATTCCAGCTGATCCATTCAGTATCTTCACCACTCCATCTCATGCCTTCCCCCGGCTCCTGTGTGACAGCACCAGGCCCAGGTGTTGTTGGGTCCATCTAGCAAAGCCAGATTCCCCCTTCGTGCTATATTCAGCACCCTGGCATGAACTGGCTGGAGTCCTTATACGGTTGATGCTGTTTCTTCTCTCCTTCCTGAAGCTTCTTTTGGAATGACTTATCCACAGTGAGGGTGAGAGCCGACAGGCAGGGAGGATGCTGGGTGTGAAGCAGAAATATGTTATTTAGCCAAATTTATAAGTATCTGGTTACTAAAATATGAAGATTTGGTGACCCCTGTTTTCACAGCAAAAATAGCTTAGGCAAACAGTTTCCTTAAGTACAGGGAAAATTTCAGGCCACAAATTTATGGGTTTTGTTTCCTTAGTTCTTAATAATATGCTTTGTATCTGGCCTTCCTTTACAATGACATGAAATAAAATAAAACTGCTATTTATTAAGGGCCTTCTACTGATTTCTGTGGTAGGCACTTTCACAGACATCACATCATTAATCTTTTCCCCCTGTTTCTAATGCTCTTATTTAAGTTTTTAAACATTCACTATTACCTTTGTGGCTTTTATATGTGAGTACTGCATTTAAATCATTTCTATTCCACACTCTCCCCACTCCAACTCCTTTGCCCGTAGGCCCACCAGTGAAGTCTTCATTGATCTTTTCAGCCACTGCAGAAAACCAGCCTCATCTTTGAGATGCTGTGCTGTAAAGTTAAGGGTTTGGCTCAAGGTTACTCTGAGGGTGGGCACACAGGTCTATCGGTTAGCTGAGTCCAAGCACTTGGCAGAGGCCGGCATTCACATTGTGCCAGAAATCTGCGAAAACCTTAGCTCCTTGGTCACTACAGCCCTGGAGTAGGCATCGGAGGAATTCAGCATGTCTACTCCTCAGCCATGTCACTTCAGACAACCTCATGGATGTTAGTAAAAGATACTGTTCTTGTTAGCAAAACTTTTTTGTTCCCAACTTCTAAATAAAATATGGCTCAGTAGATGATTTCCTAAATCAACTGTGTACATGTGTGTGAAAGTCCAGCAGTTCTTTGGACTAGTCCTAGCTCATTTATTTCCTTGTGACATGAAAATAGTGGCAGTCCTGAAAGGGCCAGTGAATGTCTCAGCAAGTCCAGTTGCTGCTTGTGGGTGTGCCCGAAGCTTCACATCCCAAGCGCCTTTCACTGCTGTGTTTTGTCAGCCTTCAGCGGTTCCCCAGGGTGCTCAGCCTTAGGCCTCTGCTGCACTTTCTGCAGATTGGTCGCTGGGAGGCGGGGCCCCTGGCTATGGCTGGGAAGGAAAACTAGAGCCAAGGAACCTGGGAGAGACCCAGAGAGGGCCCTGAGCAGCAGAGAAGTGGCCACCTCGTGTGAATTGCTCCTCTGATAGAAATCATTAGAGTGCTTTCAAGATGTGGTTAAGAGTGTTTAGGCTTTGGGGTCAAGTTCTTGATATATGCTTCCTCTGCTGCTCATGGCTAGATAACCTTGGCTGAGTTTCTTCAGCACTTTGGTTCCCACGCCAAAAATAGACAAAATAGCAGTATTGACTGCCTAGAACAGTGGTTCTCAACCTTCTTAATGCTGCGTCCCTTTAATACAGTTCTTCATGTTGTGGTGACCCCAACCATAACTTTATCTTCATTTTTACTTCCTAACTGTAATCTGTTACTGTCATGGATTGTAATATAAATATCTGACATGCAGCTCCTCCTCAGAGGGGTCTCAACCTTCAGGCTTAGAATGTTAAGGCTTATATAAGATGATACAGGTGATTTTGAATAATGCTTGGTGCAGTGATTGCTTTATTAAGCAGTTTTTATTAAGGATTATTATTCTTTGCTAATCAACTTAATAAATAAGTGTTATTTATAAGCAGGAAAATAAATATATTCTCATTAGAAAAAATGTTGTGTATAAAAGATGCATTGGTATTTCCTATTCACCACCGAGTTTCCTCAGATACTTTCAGAATAACTGGACCATGGTATTTCCTTCCAGTCATTTAGATGTGCTCGCGGCAGCGTTTTTGAATATACAGTTACTGTTGTGAACTACAGGGGGTGGGGGTGTCGCATAACTTGAAAAGGCCTGATTAAAATCAAGTCCAGGAGTGGTGGTGTACATCTGTAATCCCAACTCTTGGGAGGAGGAAGTTGGGAGGTCATAAGTTCAAGGTCAACCTTGATACCATAACTCAAGACCAATCTGGGAGGGCAGCTGGGGAGAATATCTCTGCCACTTTGAGTTTTATATTGTCACTGAGGATCAGGTTGATGAACTTCACAGACCATGGGTCCCGTGCTCAGTATATCCTGCTTTCAAGTTGGAAAGGTGTTTGGTTTTACTATCTTTTATATCATCTCAAAATGAAAGCAATTCAAGTGAATCAGCTCTATAACTCCTTGTTTACCCTCTCAACTCTGAGAACTGAATCCCCATAATGTCAGCGAGACAAAGATACAATTTCAGACACTTGAAATTAAGTTTCATGCAATCACTAATTTGGAACAAGAATGTGAAAAGCACGTTATCATTCCTCACCCAGGGGACTCCGGTAGTGCCAGGAGCATGGCTTACATCACAAATGAGTCCAGGGTGTGGAAATGGGAACTGCTTGGGCACAGGTGGGCTTGAAGGACCTGCCACTGCTTTTCAAGGCTCCTTGTTCTTCTCAGTAGTAACATGAGGATTAGGCAGTATCACCTAGTGTGAGATCAAGGTGTCATTGCCACATCCATTTTGTTCCTAAAACTTCCCTTCAAGTCCTGATTTTTGAGAGCCTCAGATAACAGTATAACCTACTGTGGGTGGAATACCAGTTATGCTGCTTGTGTGCAGACTGCCTCTGTACTTAGTCTTGGAACTGGGGTCCAAATGGTAGGTCTGTGGGGTGAACGGGTTATCAGAAGCCTTTGACTTAGGCCCAAGGTGAGTAAGTGAGTGGACCTGACTGGCTGCATCTGTAGATATGCAAGATGGCTGGGAGCATTGCTCTTCTGTGAGGCTTGTGATTTTCACATGCCCCTTAAGTCCTAACCACCATTCAGAAAATGCCTTGCCCTCAAATACGGTAAGAAATTGTTCTTACCGTATTTCTCCAGTTCTCATTCTTGACTAGCAAGAATGTTTGTTTTTTTCCATAATATGAATGTATTGGTTATTACTATTTCTACCACAGTCTGTGACTATTAAGCATTTAAGAAGAATTTAATATTAGAAAATTGTCAGTTTCCCACCAAATACAAGAGTTGTTTTAAGATTTTGTCCTTGACAGGCCTTGGATGTCCAATGTGTGCTCCCCTTCCATTTTTGTATAGTCAGAGCCTGAGCCCCAAAGTGATTTGCTGGAAGGAACATGACAGCTGATACACCAGCCAGGGATCAGGTGCGAGTGCTGTGAGAGTTGCTGAGTGAGAGATCATTTTCCCATTACAGGCAGTTTTCCTTGAGGGTATTTTCCAGGTGTTTTATATCCAACCCCCTTTCCTTCTCTTTACCTCTTGTTCAGGAGCACTGGAGCCACAAGGGGAGTACAAAGGACCTGATCAACTCAACATCT